CAGAATAGATACCGTTTGTCCCTTCAACACCCCTTGCAATTTGAGGGTTTTTCTCTTGATAGAGGCTGTTAATGCATGTAGAGATATATCCACGGATTGCCCTGGATGGCCAGTCTGCTCATCCTGCTCCCCAATGGCATCCAAAAATTCAGTTTCCTCATCCTCTTCTAGAATGAAATTTAAGTGTCTGTATTTGCACTGGTGACCTGGGCTGAATCTCTCCCCACACTTGAAGCACAGGTGATTGTTTTTCCTGCGTAAGATCTCCTGAGGGGAGATCTTCCTATGTTCCTGGTTTGTACTCTCTGGAGTCCACTTCCTTTGGCCAACTTGTTCTGAAATTTTCCCCCCTGGTTTGGTTACAACGGTAGCACTGTGGGACTTGGAGCTTTCCCCAGGCTCCCAAGTCCTAAAGTTTCTGGTATTCCTCCCATTGAATGCCAATAACTGTTCCTGCCATTCTGCAATCTCGAAGGCCTCAAGTAAGGTAGCAGGTTTCAACATTTTAACCATAGGCTTGATCTCTTCCTTAATACCGCTGATGAAGCTGGAAACAAAGTAGGATTCAGATAGGTGAGGATCTCTGATTAACATCAAGGAACTCAGTTCCTCAAATTTCTCTTGGTAGTCCTTGACACTAGTGGTTTGGTGAAGCTTGTTGAATTCCTCCACTTCGTCTCTCCTCTCTCTGTCTCCAAATCTCCTGTTGACTAGTTGACAGAATCCTTCCCAAGAGGTTCGTCCCTTGCTCCTTTTAATTCCTTGAAACCATATTTCGGCTTTCCCTACCAAATACATCTCCACTACTTCCAATTTCTGATCCTCAGGAAGTTGATGAACCAGAAAATACTTCTCACATTTCCTGATCCATTCCTGAGGTCTGTCCCCTTCAAAAAAAGGAAGTTCTACTTTAGGTAAGCTTGGGATCGTAACCTTACGCTCCTTGCCTGCTGCTGACTGATCTCCCCAGTCTCTGCATCTGGCATGTGGATTGGTCAGTAGAGGATTCTTCTCTGGGGGAGGCGAATCACCAGTTGCTGTTGTTCTGTCTCTGTTGAGAGCCTGCAGAAATGAAGTCAACTTCGTCTCCATTCCTGCCATTAACGCGTCAATTTTCTTGTCGAGCTCGTCCATTTTGGTATCTACGTGCGTTCGAGCGTCTTGTAACTCCGTTTGCAGGGAATCTACTTGAATCTGAACCCTAGTCTCAAGTTTCCGGAGCTGTTCATCTAGATTCTTGAGTCTGGTACCGTCTGCCATTTGAATTTGCAGTTAAGTTGCACCGAGGATTGAAGGCTCTGATTACCACTTGTCAGGATTTAACCTGATAATTTCTCAGAAGAAGAAATAATAAGAGGGAAATAGGAAGGGAAGAACATGAATTGAGAGAAAATGAGGGAAGTAAGGGAAATCTTATTGAGAATATTTCTGTAATGAATCTTGTCTGCCAAGCCTTTCCTATACTTGGCTATTTATAGAAATTTCCTACACCTCCATGCAACGTGACTGAAGCTGACAACTAACCATGCAACTAACTATAACAAACTGCAACAGAATTCCCAACTAACTTCTTAAGTGCAACGACACCGTATGTGCCAGAAGTCTGAGCTGCCTTCAAAACGACTCCGCATTCCCCAAAGCTACGTCGCTTTACCTAGTGTTCCTGACAGTCACCAACCTAAGCCATGAGCCTTCTTGATCGCTCATAGACCCCGTCCAGGTAAGTATGTTTTACGTCGTCAAACCATAGCATTTTATAAGTGTCCTCCAGCCGCCTTGCCTCTTTGTTTCTTCGATGTGGGAACTTGGGAACAAGCATGTTTGATTATAGCTCCGTTGTCTTTGCCTACTGGGATTCAGTTTTATGGTGTGTTTCCCATTCAAATTGCGAGATCTTCTTCTATAGTAAAAAGACTCCAACCTGCAATAAAATAAGCAAATGAATAAATAAATAATATTGCAATTTGATATGGTGGATTTTTTTTTTCTCTTTTTTAGTTTTGTAGCCATTTTTTAATAAGTAAATATGGTATTTCTATTTTTTGTCGCCAGAAGTTCTTTTTGTAGTTGCCCTGATAATGAGATTATTATTGCTAGCTGAGTTGGATGAATTTGCTTGGACATTGTAGAAATAAATTTTTGGTGTTGTAATAGGTTCGTAGAATTGGGAGGAAACAATCAACCAAAGTTATCTTTGGAGAGAGATTAAACAATTCGTAATAATGTAAACATCTAAAATAATATAAAATCGAAAACCCTATTAGACTCTAAGAAAAATATTCCAAGTGGTGTATATGTAGCCTACTAGACTCAGATTCTGTTTGATAACTTAATTTATCATTTAAACTTAATTAATTCAGATCTTAATATGTTTAGACGTATTTGATAATAAAAAATAGAACAAATCTTAAATAATTAAGTGGATGTGAGCTATGTAAGTGAAACTTATTCCAAAAATTAAGTGATAAACTATTCATTTATCATTTAATGCAAATGTGTTCAAATATTAGAATTTTAGTATTTACAATTCAATAAATTAATAGATTCATATTTCAAGTATTAGAGTTCAAATTTCAGATTTTAATTTTATCAAACGCACCTTAGTAAATAAATTAAACTACACATTAAATAGTAATCACCAATTCCTAAAATAAGAAAACTACTAAAAACAGTTGATTTCAACAAAACTATTACAAATTAAATAGATACTTCTTGACTTGGTTTCCTTGTTCTCAAAAATCAACAGCTATAATGATATTTTGAAAAAGTAATTTGAAACAAATTCAGCAATGTGTACTTTGCGGATTTAGGGCAAGTTTTTCTTAAGCTTTGGTCCACAACAAAATTTTCTACTAGAATGAAAAAATTAAAGAAAAATCAAGAAAAAAAGTGTCTCTCGGAACTTCATTGATTAATAGGGTGTTTGCCTTCATAGGAACATGATCAATTTTTTGTTATTCTCCAACCTCCAATCCACAAGTAACTTTGTGCAATTAAATTTGAAGTTAATTCTCTCGAAGTTGATGGACTGAAATACCAGCCACATGCACGGACTACTAGTCCCCGAGGATCAACCGCTTTTTAACACCAGGTAAAGTTAAACAAATAGAGATGCAAAAATGAAAGGCACTTGTATTTTGAGGGAGTTTTTGTAGTTATCTGGTGCCTCTTGTTTTAATGAAATCTCAATATATCTTTCGGGGGAAAAAAAGATGAAAGACACTGTTCCACCAAAAATAAAATGGAAAGGAAAGAAAAAATCAACCACTTCGGAAAAATCCAATAACTTAAGTGTCGTTTTACAAAGACTATATTGTTCCATACAGAATAGGGATCAAAGGAATGACTAATTTCCAATTACTGACATAATTGATGGTCTAAATTGGTATAGCAAATTAAGAATTAAAGCATGAAAATGTGTTACTACTAGGGGTGTTCACGAATCGAGCCGCTCGCGATCAGATCGCGAGCGGCTCGAATTCGAGCTCGACTCAAGCTCGTCAATATCGAACTCGAGTCGAGCTCGAGCTAATTAAGTCGATCTCGAGTTCAAAAACATTAAGTTCGTTGGCTTGCGAGCGGCTCGCGAGCTCAATTATATATATTTTTTATTTTTTATTTTTTATTTTAATAGTAAAATTACATATATATCCCTAATATTTTATTATTTATTAAAAAATTATTATTTTATTCATTTTGAAAAATAAATAATTTTTTTATTTTTTAAAAATAAAATAATAATTATTATTTTTTTATTTTTTAAACTCGAGCTCGAACTTGATATTTTGAGCTCGTCAAGCTTGAGCTCGAGTTCGAGCTTGACAAAATTAACTCGAGCTCGGCTCGAGTTCGACTCGTTTGCATCCCTAGTTACTACGCATCACAACTAGAGCTGTTAACATATCCAAACAAAGCTTGACTACAATAAATAGGTTGAAAAGTAAAGTTTTATTTTGTAACCGAGTAAATATGCTAATTTGAGCTCCACATATTTGAGCCAAGTTCAAACTTGGAGCTTGAGCTTTATGCATTTGTTACAGGAAATGAGATTCAACTAATGACGATGATATATATACTAAATGTAACATGAATCTAACGGCGATGGTGTATATACTAAATGTGCGACGGTGATATTGCATATGTTATCGGTGTATTCAAAAATTTTAGGTCGTAAAATTCAAAACATGAAATATCGTTGTCTACCTACACAAACTCGGACAAAACTGAACTTCTATGGATTTATCCTAGCATTAGACTGAGTTTTCTGATTGATGTCTGAGTATAAACGCTTGACATCTTGAGTTAAAGAGACATAGGATCAATAAATTATCTGGTAATTTCCTTTTAACAAAAAATATATCTCAGACTCTCAGAAACTGTTCAACAGAAAATAAATTGTTCATAAAGATTTGTATCATGAGGATCGGGCAGGAGCCGCGCGAACGCAGGCTCCCACTGCAACAAATTATGATGTTGGCAGGCGCCCCTCCAAGGCGCAATGGAGGCCACCTACCTAAGCCATGAGCCTTCTTGATCGCCCATCGACCCCATCCAGGTAAGTAAGTATAAAGTTATTCTTTTGGCTCTGATTTGTATAAATTTCTTCAATGGCCTGCACAGGATGGTTTATTTTTCTTAATTTATTGGCTATTGTCCATATTACTTCCTTTCTTATCCCCAAAAGAACAATGTACAGAAGAAATAAAAATTTGAAGATTTTTGTCTTGGAAGGCCTAGAAGGACCTCACATAGCACATGAAACAAAAAAATGAATGGGCAAATTGGAGCATTGATACATTTTCTTTATCCGAGAGTTTACAAATAAACACATGGGAAGACTACGATTTACTGTATAATGCAGAAAAATTTTCTGATCAGGTTATCTAATCTTTAGCTCTTTCCGCTTCCATTCCCTAAACAATTGAATCGTGGTAGTTTCATCTTCAAGTCCTAGACAACAGCTAATTCACAGAAATATATGCAGTCAAACCACAAAGGCATTAGGGAAGAAAAGAAGCAAGAAAATTTGTGCCCAAAAGAATCTGATACACCGAAAATTGCATCATGTACAGGCTATAATACACATCCAAAGTTGTCTGTAAGAGTTCATTGCCTCCGAAAATGTACTACATATACACAAATTTCCTCCAAACAATCTTCAATGACACCGTGCCAAACTTCTCAAAGGGCAGCTGAGAATGGATCTGATTGTATCTTATTTTTAGTCCTCTACCCTTTTTCTCCCCGAACTCGGACAAAAAGAAACAAGAAAAGGAGAAGTAAGGCTAGCATTCTTCTCTAAAAGGTCTAAAACAGCGCATCATGCTGCATTTCCTAACTCAACAAACAACAATGCAAATGATGCATCTGCAAAAGGTTTCATCCGCAACGTGTTTTCTAACTGTACAAAGCAGGACAGCTCATCTTAAGCAGTAGTTCTTGCCTGCAGTGAGTCTAATTCTTTAAATCACTAGGTGCAAATCTTAGAATACAGTTCTTTTGCTGTCCATGTTACTTCTGCGAGGCTTTCAAGAGAAGCAGCAATGTCCTCAGCCATTGTCATCAATAAAAGCCTACATTCTGGAACCCAAAAACATGAACCATATTAATAAGAGATATTACGAAGTTCAGATACATGCATACTTGGTACTTGTAGCATGCGATTTTCAACTAGAGATCAAATCCAAGAAGTTCTAACTCCAAGAAATGAGATTAAATAGTAATGCTTATTGCAAAGATTATCAGAATATTAAAAAAAATAGTAGTAAAAAGCAAGCAGGGCTTCTGTGCTATCTATTGAAGGTGTTGTCTCTCAAACATTTTCTGTTATGAATGTCATCAAAGATTACTAGGAAAAGGAAAGTAACTTGGAGAAGTATATAAAACACTCTTGTGGAACACTAAACTCGTGAATCTATCAGGGAAGTTACTTGTTACATGTGCTTCATGTGTCACGTCTGTATCAAGCAAGCTTCCGTGTACCTTATTCAACTTTTTGGATTTTAATAGAGAGATATAAAGATTAGCAAGTAAGAAATCCAATAAATCCATGAAGGATCCAAGGCTATATTAATCAAAACAGAAAAATCTTTCTCAAAAATATTTTTGTGCAGCTATATTACTGATAAGAACTTTCTGTACAAGAAAACTGACCTGGAAACTTGCTGAAATTAAGCAGAGACATAGAAGCAAGAATCTTGTGCTCAACCAGCTCATTCTCGAGGCAACCTTTAAGCCCAGTGATTAGAGCTGAAAAGGCAGATAGCTGAAACTCAGCTTCAGATAATGAAACAAGAGCTGAGCTCAACCATGCCACTGTGGTCAGGCACACTCTCACCAGATCAGGGTTTTCAGAAACTAAACACCTGGCTGTAGCTGCCAAAAAGGATTTGTGCCCATCTCCAAGAAGTGAAGCTGACAAATTCATCAACCATTTCTCCCGGGCTTTTTCTTCATCAACAGCCTCCATCTGCTGATTTACTTTCAAGGAGTGTTATTGTTACTTTGCTATACAACGAAATTTGCTAACAATGATTCTAGCAAACAATAGTGGTCAACTTCCCCATTCATCATTCTATTCTGCTTAACAGTGATGGCAGTGGGAGGCGAGATATCAAGATGGATGATAAAGAGAAGGAAAGCATCAAAGGTCAAAATCATCATCACAATCAATCAAAAAGGTAGCACTTTGAAATAAGTAAAATTTGTTGAAACTGTGGTGAACTTAAAAATCATATAAGAAGACACAAAACTAAGCAGATTAATTATAAAGAGATACTTGATGTTCTCCACAATTTGTTCCATAACGTGCCAAATTTCTTTACTTTTTAAGGCTCCTCAAAAAGAAATAAGCAAACGAGTGTATTATCACATGTTGCAAGCTTAAATGTGGAAACTTCACTCCAAAGAGACTATACTCAATGGATATACAGAACACCAATGTAAACAAGAAGCTTATCTTTGCTATTTCTAAGCTTCTGTTAGGATATAAGACGGTGGAGGAAGAAAATGAGGGATAAATATACAGTGATAGACCAACATACCATCATAATACTTTCATCAACAAATATATTGTTTTCATTTTCAGGAGAATCATATACTGGTCCATCGAGAAATCCAGCCTGCTTAAGCATCCAATCCTCTGTCATGATCTTCCCAGCAAACGAAAAGTGTCCTCCCAAGATAAGGAGTGCTCTGCAACAGTTCATTCGAACCTTTTCATCAGTCAAGCTGCTTTCAAGGGCCACTGTAATGGCATCCACAGCCTCCTCTCTGTATGCACTATGTTCTTGAGGTTCTACCTGCAGGTAGATATGAACCTTCACTTTCAACTGAAAAGCACTGCAAATACGTGTTTATGCCTTCAGACAATTACAATAAAACATAAGAAGAGTCTTCTATCCCATTCGGGTTCCATACAGTGAAAGGAGCTATGTAAGTGCAATTATTAATTACGACCTATGAATATTTTAGAAAATCAAAATGTAAGTAATGCCTGATAACTGTATTAAGTCCCTCAATGCTGTGCAAAACTGCAGACCATTGAAGCTTATCTTTCCTTGATACGTCAAGTACATGGTAAATAGCTAAAGGGAATGCAACAAACTCATTTCCTTTCAAAATAAAATAGATGGTCGAATGCAATCCTAGAGAAAGACAAGCAGAAAAGACATCTTATACTTCCATGTTCAATCTTTATTATTTTTATCAATACATATAATTTTCATGCAATTCAGGGTGCACGTGAAAATTTCCATCCTGATTTAGAGAACTAAAACTGAGGATTTTAAGCCTCTGACCAAAAAAACCAGTTACTGAATAACCTCCTCACTTAGATCTAGTGAAAGCCCGAGGGATTAGTAGAAGGAAAAAAGGGGAAGCTGCCACGGAGGAATCTTTAGCAATCCGAAGTGCGCTGGAAATGGCTCAAGCTGCAGGATGGACAAAGATAGAAGTCCAGTCAGACTGCAGAAATGTTGTGAGCTCGATCAATGCGGGCAATGTTCAGGATTGTAAGCTACAAACAATCCTTGAAGACATTGAGGCCCTAAAGACTAGCTTTGACAGCTGTATCTTTTCTTTTGTTCCCAGAAGTGCGAATGGTTGCAGTCATGCAATGGCTCAATTTGCAACCAAGGTGGTTAATACCATTGACTGGCAAGCTTCATTTCCAACATGGTTAACTGTTCTTGCTAGGAAAGATATGGGGGTAGTTACCCCTTTTTGTAATTAACTCTTGTATTTTCAAGTGTTATTATCCATTATCTATAAAATGTTATCGTTTGAATAAAAAAAAAAAAGAAAAAAAAGAATAACCTCCTCACTTACTAAAGCATCCATGACTTTTTGTAGCATATTTGTCACAATGTACAGCAAATTAGTTTCAGATGACTGAATTAATTGAGTTTTCTGTTGTCTGCTAAATCCATGAAGAAAGAATTATTTAAGAGCCTATGCAGATCACAAGATGCCCTTTCTATTCATCCTTATCTTAAAGTCCCCTTTGGCAGCCAATTTAGGACAAGAGTGGTATATATTTCTGTATTTGATCAATGCAGACTTTGAGTACTACCATTTAATTTCAGTCATTCGTTCCTACAATTTCCTATCATCTGACAGCTTAACTTTTGTGCGGGTGGATGAGTTATAACACTGTTTTAGATCTTACACAGGGTAAGTCCAGAATTATATTGGTATTATATTTACCATCTTATCAACAGAACTTTAACTCCCAAACATGTTAGTAATGACTCATAGAATATCACTTGAACACATGCAGTAAAGTTGTAGATGCAGGAAAATGTAGCTGTGATACTTTACTTCATAGATCATTAAATGCTTTAATAACTGCATGCTCAATGTACAATGAGAAATTGGATCTGATAGAACCTCCTAATGCAAATTTATTGCACGGACTTACCATAAGATCGAAGTGTAAGAGCAGCACTGCAACAAGAGGTCTTTCTTCAAATAGACAACTTTGAAGATACACTAGCAAAACATGCAAAGTGTCCTTTGTCTCTTCCTTCTGTAAGCCCTCTAAGAAACACTTTGCATCTTTCCTCCTGAAATTTTATTGTTCAAAAATAATCATTACAAACATCATGGGGTGCTGCAACAAAACCAGCAAATAAGTTCATGTGGCAATAATTTTGACTTGAACAAGAATTTTGTTAAACTTTGCCTTTCCAGTCTCTAGGTCAGAGATATAGGGCATGTGAAAAAGATAATCATCTAAATATAATTTTCAGTTCTCTTTCCATCTTGACATATCAACTTCAAATATTCATGATTGATGAATTTAGAAAGGAAAGTTTCATGTACAAGAATGAGACGAAACAAAGAAAGAATCATTTCAGCATGCATAGTAAAGCCTGGAATGAGAAGACACTGACATGAGTGATGTGATTATTTACCCACATTAGTTGGAGCCAGCCTCATTGTGAAGTTAAGCATATATTGAACAAATCTTAACATTAGATCCAAGTTCCAGAAAAAAACATTTAGATCATAGCCAAGCATCAAGCCAACGCCCCAGGGGACCTGATCTTTTCAACCATTACAGAGCAAATGAAGCATAAAAAATTATGATGTCAACAGGCTAGGAAACTAAAGCAAACTTCCCTTGCCCTTTAAAAGACATACAATTATGTCCTTGCAGGGAAAAAAAGAAAGTTGATTATAACAGTCCCCTTTTTTGCCTCTACTGCAAGGACAAAAGATGAATTGAAAGAGTTGGTATACTTTGTTCCTATCATTTTTAATCTTGGAACGGAAATGACTTTTTGTATAGTTTGTCCTTGTATTTGGTGAACGTACTGCCATGGAAACTATTTAATGCATGTCTCCACAGTCCTAAAATAGACAAACGAAAATTCAAAAAGAACAACCACAAGTTTCATCTGCTGGGGTTGACAAAAATTTAATGCCAAGTTGTATCTTTCCGAACAAATCAACTGAATTGTTTACCATCTCTGAAGAATTTTCAAGTGCTCTAAGTCCTTGTAAAATTCAGGCTTTATTATGTTCAGTATAACCATTTTTTATGTGCCTTGTTACTTAGAATAACCAGTAAACAATGTATAAATATCCAAGGAGATACACAAACAGGAACAACAGACAGACACTCTTGGTTGTTGGAATGTAAAGAACAGCAGTTTTGGATCCATATATACGACCTATTTTAGCAATAATTGCATATAACTTGTTAAAGCATTGTGTTTTATTTCTAAGTGAAATTCCTTCTTGACTGATGATGTATTACCCCCAAAATTCTATCCTATCTCAACTAGAGTTATTTATGCCATAATTCTATCTTATGGACCAGATTTACCAAAATCACACAAAATGTCAAGACTTCTTCAACTATCACATACCTGTTCAGGCAAATTAATTGAGTTAGCAATGATACGGCATTTCTTTTTGACTTCAGCTGTCTGGAGTGAAGTAGCTCAAGCAAAGATAATTTGTCAATGTTTCTAGCTACATGATTTTTGTAATCAGGGTCTGCTAGAATGCAAATTAACAGCAATGCTGAGACACGTGTCCTCTCCTCGAGGTCACCACACTGAAACCTTCGGAAGAGGAACTGCAAGCCTCCAAGAGATATAAGTTGTTTTGTACTTCTTATTCTGTCCTCTTGGCTGGAAGCAGTAACAAGCTGCTCCAGTATGAATACTGCAATTTCATCTTTGGACTTCACACTTTCACCTATTTGAGAGGCCAAATCTAGCAGATTCCTGCTATGCTCTTTCTTCCAATTAACAATAACACGCTTTAAAATGAAGTTTGTCAGAGGTACAGCTCGATATTCCAATATTTTCCCAGTTACTGGACAAGTTGTATTACCTTTTCCAAACCAATATATAATGGCTGACCTCTCAAACGTTTGTCCAGTCTCTAGGGTTACAGGTTCTTCAAATAACATCTCTGTCAAAGGGCAAATAAAGTCCTGGGGAATGCTTAAGAAAGAAGTCCCTCCAATGAAATATCCACAGTTTTCCTCTAATCCTGCACTATAGCATGTAACTTATTAGAGCTGCATTCAAATTTCAAATAGAAAACCACTTTAAAGGTATTTCATTCCCCACCTTCAACAGCAGACCCTGAATTAGTCAGCTGCACTAAGAGATGAGATTATTAGAAACAAATTTAGTACATTGACACTCAAACGAAAAGGCACTTTAGCATGCAGCAAATTACCAAGAAATCAGAATGCAGAACATCTTTGTTGTATGTCAAAAAAGTACCAGCACCAGCAGAATTAATAGGATTCTCAGGCTGTTGCAGTTCAAAAACTGCTTTCGCTACTGTACTGACTATCAGTTGATTGTAATTATGAGCTGGTGGTGTAGTACATATATGCACGCTCTTTGAAGTTTTTAGGTTGATGTCATGGCTGCCAACTTTCTCATTAGGATGTCTTTCTGAAGAATTATCCCTACCCAATCTATGAGCTCCCACGACTCTTAATGCACCATTCTGCAAGCGTGTAGAGAATCCTTCAGTACAAGTCATCCGGAATAGAAGAAAAATGCAGTTGAACATGAAACACATTGCCAGAAAGCAAAGCCTTAACGCCCCTGGCAACATCCAATGACCAGCTAAAGTAATTTGGATCATCTTATCAGGTGGCCTATCAATCTCCATCTTCAGACAGCTGAAGGTTGAAGAATTACTAATTTTATGCAGTTTAATACACAACCGGTAAAACAAACAACTGTAAAAATGACGACACTTAGCTAATATTAATTAGTACCACCACTGAACTATCTACAAATTCAAAAGATTTACAAAACTTAATCTCTTTTCCAAAGCACCAAGAAACATTGGTAAAATAAATGTAAATAGCCAACCTGGTTTGTTCTTTCTTTTCTCTTCTTCTTATACTTTATGAGGGAAACAATGTGATTTGAAAAGTTGATTTCAGGTCAGAAATGTAGGTCAAAATCCTAATAGAACTAATAATGAAATAGAGCACTCCCAAAGCCTCTAAAATCTTACAACGAATTAGGTCTGATTGGAGCATTTTACTAATGAACAACAGCTCCTCAAAGCTTGCAAGAAAACTTCTTTCACAAAAATCACTTACCAGGTATGAGGCTGCATCATCTCGAACTGTGCATTTGACAATTTCAGAAGGGGAGTTCTCTTCAACAGCAGCATCATGTGAGCTTCGTGCACTGATATCAAAACTTTCGTCCTCACAACCAGCCACTTCAGGTGCTGGCTTAACTGAATGCCTGAACACTGAGTCATATAGTGTCTTACTGACCATTGTTTGAGGTAAGAAAGTACTAGCTGGACTACTAGCATCAGGAGACTGATTGTCAAGGTCTGCCTTCTCAACCAAATGAAAAGGTATAGATGGTATCTGGATTGAAGGAAGCAGAGGAGCTTCAACTCCCTCAGTTAGCCAATCTTTGTAATAAACTGCAAACTGGTAAGTGCCTGAATCCAAAATTTCATTATATACTTTCTCAAGCAGCTTAAGTTTCCTCATCTTAGTTGGCGAATTGAGCAGAAAATTAGCTTCATTGCCGTACCAAACTTTTAACTCTGAAAGATGAGGGAGAAATATGTGTTCCCACATATCAGGTAAAAGAACATTTCGTGCCTGGAAGGGTGAATCAACAAACACTTGAAGAAGATGTTTTGCTGCTATCCTATCTTTCTTCTGTAGCTTATATACTACACTAAGGTAGAAATGAGCACAAGCAGATAGCTCGTTGTTAGGGATTCCAGACGTAAAGCCATCTTTTGAGTCATTCGAATTCAAACCTGCAATAACACTGAGTTGCAACGAGGCCTTTTTCAACTCTTTTGTAGTTGCACGCTCCTCAGCAGCTCTTTCAACTGTTTCAATAGCTTCTTCAAGACTTGCTATAACTTTGCCTTCTGTTTGAAAGCCTTCTAGCTGTCCAATAGTGTCTAGGGAGGCAAAACTACGTTGACGATGCAAGGCCCTGAAATCCTCGTCTCTTATAAAGCATTTGACATAACCATTCAAGATAGAAATCATAGCCTGTACTGCTGCTACATCAAGTGCAGGAGTAGCTATACTCTGCTCAATATCAGGTTTCCTTCGGCTTTTACTGTCTTCCAAGCTTTTGCTATTTTGTGAACTTCTATTCGATCTGCCAGAGGATGTCTCGGTTTTTTTTCTGCTTTTCCCAGAAGTCTCATTGAGGCTCTTATAAACAGTTGAAGTTTTGTTAGAATTGTATCCGTTTTTCTTATCTACTCTTTTATTCTTCTCTGTAATCTGTCTGGGGCTCTCCATTTCCTCACTTCTGGTTCCATACTTTTTATCCCTTTCCTCAGGGCTGTAAACTTCATTTGAACGTATATCATCATATTTCCTAATCCCTGCGACCTCAATTATCTCATTACTCCGTGCAGTGCTACTGATTTCAGAGCCAGGCAAATCATCACTTGTGCCATTGCTGAATTTCTTAACATGCCTTATCTCTTGAGAGCCCCTTCTTTCATGTTTCGGCCCCTTTCCCTTCTTCGATCCTTTATCCTGTCTAACATGAATGTCTCTTGACTTCTGATCACTAAGTTCGTCATCTGCTAGAAATTCACCTCTGAAATGATGACGAGGTATATCCGATCTTGTTCTCTGTGTCTTTCTTACACCTGAAGGACCAGGCTTGTGCCGATCATCGAGTGGGTAAAATGGCATACCTATCGCTTCTAATCCAAAGGATGCTCGGGGCATCATCTTTGCTTTGTGCCTCCTAAACCCTTCTTCTGCCAAAAGCTCCTCCAATGACGTTGCCATGTCACTTGAATTGATGACAACCTCAGAAGCAGAGCCTAATTCAGGAAAATAAACACTGATAAACATCATAATTCTTAGCATGTTCCCAGAAAAACAGAAAAAGAATCGCATCCAAAAAAGACAAGGAAGAGAAATTCCAGGAATCCGCGAAATGAAGATCAAAACAAAATGTATACTTCTGCTTTATTAACTGCCAAAAAGAAAAAATACAAAATGAAACAATCCAATATTAATCAGAATCTCAATTATATACTCAAAGAAAATTTGAACAATAAAGACCAAATTCAAGATCAAACAAACAAGTTGTCTACAGTTTCAAAATATTTATACCATATACATGAAAACATCAAAAGCTTCAGACTGATATTTAGTTAAAATTACCATATTAATACCATTTTTACCCATTTTTCCAACCAAAACTCCAAAAATTTGGAATACTAAGAGTCTTACCTTTTTGAACTTTCAAGCTAATACATCAGCAGATACGTATGAATCCAGTTATCCGCCCAACTAATACTTTTCTTCTCAGTCTTTCTAGATTTTGCCCCCTAAAGGCTTTAATATCCACACTGATCTTAAATGCTTCAATCCGTCTAATCAACATAGCCAGATATTCCTCACATCCATACGTTTTCTTCTGCAAATAAACTGCCTGTTTTCCAGAAAATACCTGAACAAACAATCTGGCAAAAATATCCATATTCCAGAATGACCAAACAATTATTTTTGTCTGGGTAATCCATAATAATACCAAATTGACCAAGAACACTTAATAGACAGTCAATCCATTTGTAGTTTGCATAACTAGTAAAAATAACAACTGATCACCAAACTATACATAAACCATCAAGCACAGATGATATATCAAGAAAAATCCACATACCCTGTAGCTGCTTTCTTGAAAAATGTTCATGCAACTGAAATAGCAAGAAGCCCACAAAGATTTTCCTCGGATAGTGTAACAAAGCTATTTATTTTCACTTGAGTTGATTTTTTAATGAAAAACCTGACAAGAAAATAGAAGCAAAGACTAAATGCTTTTGAAAAGTTCTTCAAATACTCTATAACCGGATGACAATTGGAGTACTGGGCGTGCAAGAGACAACACATTGGATTTGTTAATGGATTTGTTGACATTCTGATATAAGTATAATTAAATCAGAATAGAAGAAAATACAAACAAATAAATGGTATCAGTTAAAAGATTCAGCAAGAAAGGTGAAGAATTGCTACAACAGGCACCAATGCAGGAAGGGATTGAGGAGAATGACATAGAGAAAATGACAAATCTGAAAGTTACTAAATCAAACATTGCTTTCTGGGTTCTATGTCCTTAATGAACTTTATTATTTGCAGGCCATGCAAATGTTTTATGATTTGATTTAAACCGTTTCAACTGCCGCCTTTTCACCAACACAACATTACTTGTTTGCGAATTGGTCAATCATCATTCTTCAAGATGATGCTAGTCACCTTGACTAAGATGTATAGAAAAAGTCTTAGTTACATGTCACATATTATATGATCATGGAAAATTTTATGTGGTACCAAACTATTAACTCAAGATACACAATCAACTAATCAAGCGATAAAGTGAGACCATCAATTTTTTTTCCTAATATTATTGGACTGATTGCACACACACACACATATAAATTAAGAGTTCTGTTCACAAGTAAGTCTTAAATTCATGACATAAAAGTTGCAATTCACATTTTGAAATCTTCATTTCATACATTGTAGTGTACATTTAAACCTACTAATAAAAGAAACTTTAATACTGGGGATAATTTCAGAAACCTCCCTTGAGATTTCTGACAATTTCACTCGGCTCCCCTCAAATTTAAAAAATTACACTTACCTCCATTGGTATAATAAAATACCTATAATGTCCTTTACTTGGTAGACAATTTTAAATTTAAGGCAGTAAATTTACAAAACCCAAAAAAGACCTATTTTTCTATCTCTTATCTATTTTCGCTCTTCTCTTTTCTAGTTAATATAACCCCTTTTTGTTATTTTCAGTTTTGTGGATATTAACAAATTGAGATTACAAAATCAGTAGAGGAAGTAAAATTATGTGTCAAACTAGAAAGAAATGAAGAGACTCGCTGTAATAGAGAAATAAATAATGAAATTGATGATTGAAATAAGAAGAGGAACTAAAGATGTGGAATTTGTCATATTTTATTTGTTGTCCAGAAAAACTTCTATAAAATGTCAACAATTATATAAGAATTTCTTTCATTGGGTTAGAAATTTTTCATTATGATTTTATTGTAGAGGTAGAATTTACTTTCTCCTTTGGAGATATTAATATATTTTAAGACCATGAGAGGGTTGTAATGGTGGTTTTATATCAGATTAACTTATATTGAAAAGGTATTGAAGCATTGATATTTAATTTTGGGGTATAAAATTGGTTGTCAATGGGGTTTTTGTGTGTGTGTGTGTGTGTGTGTTTTTTTTTTTTTTACGTAACAAGTATTGATATTGTAGATGCAATTTGAGATCTTTTGGATGATTACTTAGTTTTAGAACTTATGCTTAGATAGTTGTTAGGAATTAGACTTGTTGATTTGTGCAAAGTATGGAAGAAAATGATTGATTGAATATACTATATTTTTCTTTCTTAGTTCTGTACAAAAGGACAATTTAGGAATTTTGTGAAAATATCTATCTTGTTCAACCTATGCTGTTACTAAACAGCAAAAGTATGGGAGACATGTAATTTTTAAAACTTGAGGGGAGTTCTTTGTATTTGTTAAAAACCTCAGGGGAGGTTTGTAAAATTATCCCTTAATATTGTCAATTCTTAGTTTATACATAGTTGACTATGTTGTGTTATACGTTACATTTACTCTAATACCTTCTTAGTGCTGTTAAGAATATTTGTCGATAAAATGTTACATGCTGTGGAGGTGACAAATCATGTTCTTATTGTTGCGATTGATGTTCATAACATCTCTTGTGCAATGAGGGACTAGGAGTAGGACGAATCATTGGTCCAAGAGTTGATGGCTTAGATGTTGACATATTTTAAATCAATCATATTTAAAATTTTAATGGTTTTAGAAATTGATTTATTATTTACTAATTATATTAGAATTTGTGTCACAGTTAGTTTAGAAAATAGAGTTGAGTCATGTTTTAATATTATAATTAGAATAGGATTCATGAATATATTTTTCTATTTAAGGACTTAAAGCCTCATATTTGTAATTGAGGAAAATTAGTTGTCAATGAAATACTACTTCAATTCCTCCCGTGCCTGTTGCGTGTGTGATTAATCAATCGGTGGCTTTATTCTTAGGGATAATTTCAGATACCGCCCTTGATATTTTTGATAATTGCACTTAAATATTTTCTAAAATTAAAAACTACACTCACCTCCCCTTGATGGACACATGTGATAAATATTGCACCCCCTGTCACTAAAGAAAGTTAAAAAAGTGGGAAAAAGGTACTGACACACAAGTTTTTGCCAACTTTACCCTCTTTATATTCTGAACGAATTGTTTATAAAAATTAATTAAAAAAGAGAAAAATATATTAAAATAGTAGGGATCCTCTCAGTACAACAAAGAATACATATACAATTCTACACTTTTGACTATTAAAAGCAAGAAGAGTTGGACAAGTTGAAACGGCTTTATTTTGGCAATATATAAGATGGATAAATTGTAAAAAAAAAAAATGAATGCTATTTTTAACTCTTAGCATTCTTCCTCTCTGTGGCAGTTGAGGAATAATAAATTCAATTTTGCTTCTCAGGATAATAGTTGAGAAATGACAAGATCAAATTTTCTTTTGCGGATGCTTGCGACAAGAAGCAAATAAAAAATATATATTATTGTTGTAGGCAATTTTTTTCTCACATTTTTTGCAATAATATTAGCCACAACATTTTGAGGGCAAGTTGGTCATTAGGAGGCTTTTGGAGATGACATGTTGTCATATCTATAACAGAGGAGAGGTAAGTGTAATTTTTAATTTTAGAAGGTATTTAAGTGTAATTGTTAGAAACCTCAAAGGAGGTATCTGAAATTATCCCTTATTCTTATAACCGAGCGGATTGCTTCCCTATTCTTGCAGTGACACTATGTTCATAATTTGATTGATTATTTTGAGAATTTAAGCTTTGAGATATTTTGATTTCTTCGTCAAATTTATAGATTTTATATTTAATTTCGCTACGTGATTTTTTGTGCTAACACTTGATGAATAGATTAATGGCACAAGAAAGGTTAGGTATATATGCAGGGAATGAAATGCTATGCAGGTATATATACAAAGAATGAAATACTATGCAACACGCAATCTTATCTTTTGATGATAATATAGGGTAAAATATGCAACAAGTCATTAAAATTTTCAAGATTCTCATTTCACTCACTAAATTATTTTTTGTCAAATAAGTCACTCAACTCCTAAGATTGCTTCTTGACCATTCTATTAATTTTTATTACTAAACGTAGACGAAAATTAACCCATGTGAAAGCCAGGCCCATTCTAAATGGACGATGTAAACGTTCATATAAGGAGTGCAATATTTCTTGAAACTAAAACTCATGAAATCCTTAATGTTAGGATCATTAGTATGAAGATTAATCCAATAGAACGAGCTTTCTGGTTTATTCATCAACACCATTGGCTGAAAGAAATTCTAGACTTCAACGGATTAAATTTTAAAAAAACATCCTCAAATCTTAATATTCAAACTAAAACAATAGCATAATGTAGGTCAAAAGATCAAATTCCTTGGTCTACATTCTAAAAAATTCAAACTTTTCTAGAAAAAACCAACTACTTCTAAAGTAGCTAGTTGGCTACCAAGGAGAGATTTAATTAAATCTCTACTTGGGTGTTGATCCCTAGCCTGCATTCTAAACAATATAGACTTTTCTGGAAAAATTTCGCCAGTTCCTCTTAGTATAGAATAGAAGTGTAGAATAAAATCTATCGTATCCGAAAAAAAAATTAAAAACAATAGCACCAAAAAGTCCAAAGTTGATTTTTCTTTCTTTTTTCACTTCAAAAGAAGATTCCAATCCTTAGCAGAGGATAAAGATAAAGAAAAGAGAGTCAAATTAGAGGCGTCATTGTCGGCTTCAAATCCTCTGTCTCCAAAATAGTATATGTCCCCTCTGTCCCTTATTTGTACAGCTGCCATGTGTCCCTAGCCTTTTGTTAACCCAAACTCAAACAAACCGATAACTCAAAACTTTTTTTTATTTTCTTTTTAACAAAAAAGAGTCTTGTTGATCATAATTTTTAACAAACAAGTTTAGCTCTTTCTAATTTTTTACATCTCGTAATTATGTAAATGCGATGATTTAAAATTAATTACTCAATAGTTTTGAGTTATCTGTAAAATCAGCCTTTGAGTAAACCTGCCAATCGACTATTATCGGTTTGTTTGAGTTTGGGTTAACAAAACTTGTAAACCGATTATTATCGATTTATTTGAATTTGGGTTAACAAAAGGCTAGGGACACGTGACAGCTGTACAAATAAGGGACAGAAGGGACAGAAACTATTTCGGGGACAAAGGATTTGAAGCCGTCATTGTCATCAAAATAATAAACCAAACAGTTAATTCGGAATCAGTTATTTCACTTCCCCCCCCCCCCCAAAAAAAAAAAACCAACATGTAGTCCTCGTTTTCTCAAGTCTCTTCGTGGCGTACGAGCTGCCGAATAGTGAATTAAATAGCTTCATGTATAGACAAAGAAGGTCAAAATAGCATCTCATCTCTATTTGCATTTGGTGATGGTATATTGATTTCTCCGTTCTTGTTATCTCATCTCTACTTGCGCGCGATGCTAGAATGCATTTTGTGATGGTATACTCGGTTTACTTACACTATCCACCAATAGCAAGTTTAAGAGTTAAGAATGATATTGAATGACAATGAACGTGTATTTTTAGAGTTGGAACTATGAAAATACATTTTAAAAAATATAAAATGATAATTTATTTGTAGAGTTGAACTAGAATATCACTTCACCAATTATATTCTACATATTTAATTTCCTCATCCATATAGGTTTTACAAAAATCTAAGAGATATATCATATAGATATAGGGATAATATCGAAAATTCCAGAGGTTTCTAACAATGTGACTTAGCCCACCCAAAGTTATGAATATTATGTTGAAATTGTTCTTTCATTTACATGTACCCAAAGTCAATATTTGGACGCTTAAATAAACATAAATTAGCCTCAAAATGCTTGCTTATTACAGTAAATTCAACAAAAATATCTGTTGGTGGATTCACATTTTCATGCTCTATGTGCTTTGCTTTATTGAATATTTTCTTGTTTTCGGTTTTTTGTTTCATCACTGCACAAGAAAAGCATAGCTTGTCTTGGATTTTTCTTGGTTTCAGAACCTGTAATAGCTGCTACCTTGCAACCGGGTTATATTATCAGTTGAGAGGATCCTTAATGATGCCACTGGCGGGTAGGAGTTTGCTTGCTGCTGTTGAAAAATGACTTGTATTTTGTCCTCTTATATTTGTCATACTTGACGTTTCATATTAATTGCTACTTCACTAGAAACAACGGTCACATTAGCAACATCCAGATTGGACTTGATATAGTGAAGAGTAAAATACCAAAAAATTCCCTGTAATTTGACAAATATTCAATTTAATTCCCTCTGGTTTGAAAATCTACACTATAACTCCCTGTGATTTTGACTAAATTGAAAATTGGACACAAAGTATAAAATCTAACGGTTGTGTGTGATATGTCAATATTACCCCTACCATATGTGAGATGCTTTTTATTCAATTTTCAATTTAGTTGAAACCGTAGGGAGTCATAATGTAATTTTGCAAATCAGAGGGAGTTCAATTGA